GTTAGATACCATCTATTCTGCTCGACTTTCTTTCCATGTAATAGTATATAAGACCTTATTATCTGTAATATATTTTGTTTCATAATGTAGAATTGGTTTGCAACTTCTGTTTTTACGATATATCCATTAGGAATTTGATATTGAATAGCATTTTGATTATTTTTTTGTGTATATTTAATATTTTGTGGATATTTGTTAAGTGCTATTATCTTATATTTTGAATGAAAAATCTTATTTCTTACAGTGTACTGAACATCTACATAAGGATTATTAAGATAATCCTTATAAAAAACTCTGGCGGTCTGTTTAAAAATAAAAATGACTATTTAATAAATGAGTACTATACTAATTACTCTCCATTTCACAAGAATAATACCTACTTACTATAGGGTAACTGTAAACTATCTCCAAAATTATATAAAAGGCTGCTATATCACTTTTTTATAATATTCTTGTCCTTTTAAAAAACTGATTTACAACCGATCTGAAAAAAATGATTTTAATAGAAAGAGTTTGTAGAAAGTCTACGATCAGTGCGACTATTGGCTTTGATTATGAATCATCACTTTCTTTTGGATTCATCACTAATTTTAGTAGTACAGGATGATTTACATTCAGTATAATCACAAAATTTATTAGTGTAATAAGCAAGATCAGCCCATATGGTAATAACTGCTATCGCAGCTTCAGTTTTACTAAGAAAACTTAGTAATAATAGCTATCGCAGTTTCAGTTTTACTAAGAAAACTTAGTAATAACTACCATTTTAGCTTCATAATAATTTTATTATTAAAAAACGTTTCTGAAGTTACAGACACATTTTTTACTAAGTTTCTTAGTAAAAATTGTCTCCAAAGATGCAGAGGTATTTTTTACTATGTTTTCTTAGTGAAATAGTATTTCTGAAGTTGTAGAGGCATTTTTTACTATGTTTTCTTAGTAAAATAACATCTCTGAAGCTGTGAAGGCATTTTTTACTATATTTTTCTTAGTAAAAAAGACATTTCTGAAGCTGTGAAGGCATTTTTTACTATATTTTTCTTAGTAAAAAAGACATTTCTGAAGCTGTGGAAGCATTTTTTACTATATTTTTCTTAGTAAGAGCCACTCCTGAAGCTTTTGATATGGCTTTACTATTGTTTTAAATCAAATCAAATATTTGAATACTTGATTTGAATTTGATCAAATTGAATCAAACATTAATTTGAATTTGATCAAATTAATTATTCTTTGATTTGAATTTGATCAAATCAAATATTCAAATATCAAATCGAATTGCAGAACCCTAATACTAATATTATGTAAATATCATCATAAAGTGTTACATGAAATTAACCTTACAATTAATGCAGTCCAAGTACTTATTAGTTTGATAAATAGTTTTCCATTTTGCTAAATTCTTTTTATCCTCTTTTTTAATTACTAAATTTAAATGAAATTTTTATATATTTATCTTCAGATTCTTCAATTTTTAACAACTTATTTTATATCACCTTCTATTTCAATACACATAATTTTATCTTTCTCTTTTTTTATCAGAGTTTCTTATTTCTACTTTTAAAAACCTTTTATTACTTTTGTAATGCTAATTTTCAATAACTCAGATTTTTTTTTAAGAAAACCCATTATAATACAAATATATTACACTCTACCTCCAATGTTCACTTATATTTTTACTTTTCTTAAGTTAAAGAACAACTTTTACTATGGTAACTCAACTGTAATTCCTATTATTCTTTTATGTTTTTTTTTTATATATTTGGTTTTTTTAATTAAACTTTTTATAAATAACAAATTATAAATAAAGTATATATTTATTTAAATATAAAAAAAATTGTAGTAGCTTATTTAAAATTAAAGTTTTATTTTATAAAGCTGAATGAACGTATTAACTTAAAAAAATCAATCGTCATAATATGATTAACATCAATTTCAAAAATGTATAGTCTTATGAATTTTACTATTACTGAATATTAATATTTAACACATATCACATTAATTGTGTATTATTATTTTTTTTAGTTGCATTTATAATAAATATACTGAATTCCTTAAACTCTTGATGAAAACAATAAAAACAATAAACTTGTAAAGCAGTACTTATAATCAATAATAGTTTATGTAAAAATTATTAATATTCATTACTTTATTTGACTTTAAGTGCCTTTTTTAATTGATGTGTTCACCTTAAATAGAAGACTTTATTGATAAAGATTTGAATTCTTTAAAGTTTGATATATCATGCTTGTTCTTTTTTTTGTATAATAAAAGATTAAACACATAAAAACAACTTAAAAATAATCATATTTCATTTTTTTTTGAAAAACTACAAAGAAAAATTTTTTTTGTTGAAGACGCAACCCAAATTTGATTATTTACAACACATCAAATTTTTAGAGAAAAAGAAAGGTATTATATGAAAGAGATGATTTAGAATGTTCTTACAGAATTTAGAATGTAAATAATAGAAAGCTTCTTTAATAAATAATAAATCCTAAGAGACTATACATATATTGGTCTATTTACTATTTTACAATTTAAATTCAATATATCTAGAGTCACGAGACATATTAAACAAAATTACCAAAATTGATTTTAAAATTTTTAAAATAATTTTCTTGGAGAAAATTAAGAAAATTGTAGTAACATTACATAATGTAGAAAATATTGTTTGAATACCATTATCTAGACTCTTTAATAATACAAACCTACATGAAAACAACTTTGCATAATAAATATTAATTATAAAATTATAACAAGTTATAAAAAAATTGACTTAAGAAATAGTTTTACATCGTATACGCAATTGCAAAAATTATAACAAAGAAAAATATGAGAAATAGATAAATTTTTTTGCAGATGTTTATAACGCAATAAATGTAAAATGAAATTCCTATATATAAAAAAAATAATTAATACTTTGTTATCATGAAATTTATTTTAATTTTGATATTTTGTATTACTCGGAAATATAAAATCTAATTATTTTTAAAATCGGTTATTTACAAATAATTGAATAAAAAAAAATTTATTTGAAAAACTTATATATTCAATCCAAATTGTTACAGCTAATTTCATAATTCATGGACTATTAATAATTTTTCAGTCGCATTCAGTCGCAATATTTTCTAATAATTTTATTACAAAATATTTTCAGTCGCATTCAGTCGCAATTTATTAGTGGTCCACGAATTATGAAATTAGTTATAAAATTGAATAAGATATTTTCAATATTAATTGAAAGTCTTCAATGCTTCTAGAATCATTCGAAGATTTAGCAGTATAAATAAGCAATTTTGTCATTACTACTACAGGCATTGTAATTAAATTCTATGCTCAAATATTTTTGAATCCATGATGAGTTAGTTGCACTAATTTAGTAATATAAATATAAATTTATTAATAATAGAATACACTAATTAAAAATTTTGAAGTCTATCGGCAGGGATAAACCAATATATACTGAACTAATGAAATAAAATCCGAATGTAAAAATCAAGATAAGAAAGAAAAAGCAAATATTTGCACTAGGTTAATAATTATTATCATCATTATCTACATATGGAATTATTTTTGATTTGTCTTGAATTGTATTTTTTGGTTTATGATCTACAAATGAGTAATAAAATCATTTTTTTTAATCTATCGGCAAAGTAAGTATAATGCTAGTAGATTGAGTTTACTTCTGCAATAGTAAATTGCTAAATTCTTATCTGTTATTAGATATTAAGTTTTTTTCTGACCTGCAAATAAATAAAAAATATTTTTTTTTAATTTATTGCGTAATGGAAATAGGTTTATGGATTTTGATTTACCTCTACAATTTAAAATTGCGATAATCATATACGCGTTTGCATTCTTACATTCTACAATAAAAATATTATTACTTTATCAACAAATATTTTGTAATGCTAAAGATAATATGTTAGGTTTACTTTGCAATTATTGTTATCATTTTTTAAAATCACATGATTATTTTATCAATTTATATATTTACATTCATCATTCCAAAATTTACTTTTTGGTATATATATCATGTTGAATCCAAATAAGAGGTAATGATTGCAATCACCAAGAATTAAATTCTTCATAAATATTTAGTAATCTATACCGTTGTGGTTTATTTGCAGTAAATCTTCAGACTATATGATTAATCAATCTACTTAATCATTTCATTATTTCATTTTTCTTAATATTTCAAAATAAAATTTGTTAATTAGTTACAATTAAAAAAAATATATAAATGCTAAAATCAACTTACTTTATGTATTTTATCATAACTTATAAAAGATTTTACACGAAGGTTAAGGAATTACAAGTGTATCTTATTCCATTCACTATTTCATTTATATCACTCTATTAAATCATTTTGTCCTTGATTATTATTTCATCTATTTCTTCACTATTTTTCATTTTTGTTTATTACCATCTCAATCATTTGTATCTCTTTATTTAATGAATCTTCATACTTATAAATATCTAAGCGAAGATATTTCGAACCAAATCGCATACTTGTAATACATAATTTATGATCTTAATTATATTTGTCCAAATAATTTTAAGAAATGGTCTTCCATCATTAGAAAGGTTTTTCTCTTTCTTATTATTAAAGACTTGATGCCAAATTTGAATGGTAAACGTACTTACGATGAGTTGTAAAAAGTTATACTCATTATTACAAAGATATAAAGAAAATTTTTTCATACTCTATTGTTACCCATAATTCTGTTTCTATAACTATTGGCTCGATTTTATTATTTTCATTTAATTGGCATAAAATTATGTTGTATGAATTTTTAACTTGAAAAATGATGTTATATTTTTAGATTCTGGAATATATTGTTGCAAAAGTATTATTTAAATTACTTTTATCATTTTTATTCTTTGTTTTTATCTCAATCATCTTAAGAATTAATGTTACTTTCCCTTCATCATTAACATGCAAAAGATTTCAAAAGGTACTAGTTAAGCAAGTATTAAGATTTGAATCGTAAGATATTCTAATCATACACATCACAGATTAGAATCTTAAGCTTATTATCATTTTTAGTATCGTTACTAATTACAAGTAATTTCTCATCATTGTTAATGAATTCAATTAATTGAATATCGATACTTTCAAATAGTTTAATTGTGACTTTCGATCTATACTCATGAGGTATATCCTGTTAAAATATGTCAACAATTTATTCTTTTCTGATATCAATAATATAACTACTTACCAATTGTTTGAGGTTCTGGTGCTAAGCAAAATTGTGATTTTTGTTTATCGATTGAATAAGTGTTTTTGTAATATTTATTATTGTACCAGTTGTACATATTATACTTATCATTTTAACACTATTTTTAATTTCATATCTGTCACATCATGAACTGTAATATAAATTTGTTACTACAATTTCATAAAAAAAAAATTATGTAAAAAATTATGTAAAAGATTATAGTTATTTTACCTTCAAAGAACATTTTTGTCATCATCAACACCAAAAAATATTGATTCTGCGAATCTTTTAATTTATTCATGACTACTCCTGGATAATTAAATCATTCGTTCTATACTATTAAATGTTTATTTGTCTCATTATATTTAAAGTTTTATATATCATTAAAGTTTAATAAAATAAATTCTTTTAAAATGTAATCTGATTTAATATCATCTCTAATCTCCATAGCTTTCCTAAATTTACAAATTCCCAATAATCTATTATAATTATATTTAATAAGATTATCTTTAGGTTTTGTGTATTTTTTTTCTAAAATTTTAGAGAACATAAAACATATTTTTGAAGCCATTTTGAGCGTCATTGTTCAAATAAAAATGAGTATTCCTGTAGAATGAGTTTAGTTGTAGTCTATAAGCTGATATAATTCACTTCTGTATGTATTTAATTCCTGATGGAAAATTGAAAAATCTAAATTTAATTATTTTATAACCAAAGAACTTAAAAAATAATAAACTTTCTAATTTAATGCACTTTTTTTAGAGCTCCGAATCAGGTCAGGTCAACCTGTGACCCGACCCGACCCGACCTGAAAAATCCAGGTCAGGTAGACAAA